GGGTGCAGTGTGTGATGGAGAGCAGGTGCTGGCTGCGTGTTCTGACAGATGAGATGTGCTGTATTTCTCCTGTTTCTCACCTGCCTGCTGTCAGTACCTCAGGTGGAGTTTATTTGCTCCGGTTAGCCACACACAGCTGTTTCCCCACACTTTACCAAACACAGTCCCGACGGGGGCGATTACAGCTGCTGCACAGGTGATTATTCAGCGCAGAGTCTTTGGGGCTGGTGCTCTGCAGGATTCTGGGAGTATGATTGCTGGGATTTGGGAGTCAAGTGCTTATGGTCTTTAAGTCGGGGGTCTCAAGCTCCATCTTCGATGGTGCAGTAGTTACCTGCCTGTACAGGGGCCAGAATGTAGCTAATGCTCCATTTAAGTGGAACAGAAAATATGAACAAAAAGCCAGTGAATAAGAAGCCAATGTCAGCGTCAACATTTAGCACTGTTGCCGGGTTCACAGCGCTGTGCTAGAAAACAGGTTTATTTAAATATTGTTCACCTTTGTTTATATTATTTTGCACAATATAACGGTCATTAATAAAAAGTGAGGCCATGGTTAACCTATAAAAATAGGTTTAAGCATCTAAAATGTTTTTGTTTATACAAATTGTATGTGCTGTGATACACACCGAACAGCCACTTCATTAAAACCACCTACTTAAACACTGTGTCCACTCACTGTCCACTCTATTAGACACTCCTACCTTGTCAGTCCACCTTGTAGATGTAAAGTCAGCGACGATAGTTCATCTGCTGCTGCACAGTTTGTGTTGGTCATTTTCTAGTCCTTCATCAGTGGTCACAGGACGCTGCCCACAGGACGCTGTTGGCTGGATAGTTTTGGTTGGTGGACTATTCTCAGTCCAGCAGTGACACTGAGGTGTTTAAAAACTCCAGCAGCACTGCTGTATCTGATCCACTCGTACCAGCGCAAAACACACACTAACACACCACCACCACATCAGTGTCACTGCAGTGCTGAGAATGATCCACCAGCCAAATAATACCTGCTCTGTGGGGTCCTGTGGGGGTCCTGACCATTGAAGAACAGGGTAGCAAAGTATGCAGAGAAACAGATGGACTACAGTCTGTAATTGTAGAACTACAAAGTGCACCTATATGGTCAGTGGAGCTGATAAAATGGACAATGGGAGTAGAAACAGTGAGGTTTTAATGAATTGGCTGGTTGCTTTACACTGAAATGGCCAGAAATTTTAATTATATCATGCTATAATTGTTTTTCCTGTAACACCCACTACTTTTTCTGACTTTTTTCCATTTGTTTCAATGTCAACAAATGACTAGTCATGACAAAAATGTGACAGATGGTTTATCTGTTTTACAAAAAACTGTATGCAGAACAATAACTTCATCAAATTCAGTTCATAATAAAATATCTCAATTCTGCTACTCACAAACACAGATGCAGTATGAATTAAAAGTTTAGAATCTGCACTTTCCACACAAATTCTCCACTTGTTTCAGTGAACTATGGGTGAAAAATAATAAAACACTTCATGATGCCACATTAACTGACTTCTAAGGGCTAAAAAGTCAAATTAAATTGAGTGTGATGCTCATAATGTATCCTAAACACACATCTCTAACACATTTCAATGGAATTTATAGCCTTAAGAAAAAAAAATTGACCCGCCACTTGATTTGCTACACTCTTAAAAAAGATGGTCCTTCAAGGGTTCTTTAGTAAAGAAAATGGTCCTACATAGAACCACAAACACTCAAAGAACCCTTTGCAGGATTAGGGCATTCTTTGCATCATAAAAGTGTTCTTCAGATTGATGGAGAGTGTGCAGTAGATGGTTCTATATAGAACCTTTTTGAAAATTGTTCTATATAGCACCCAAAAAGGTGCTGCTATTGTTATGATGTCAATCTTGTTACAGTAGAAGAACCCTTTTGGGTGCTCTATAGAACCCTATTGGAACCATCTACAGCACATTTTCCATCGGTCTCAAGAACACATGATGCAAAGAACGCTCTAATCATGCAAAGGGTTCTTTAAATGTGTCCATGGGCATATATAGAACCTATATAGGACCATTTTCTTTACTAAAGAGCTCTTAAAGTACCATCTTTCTTAAGAGTGTGTAAGCCAATGAAGGGACTAGAGTGGATTTAGCTGTAGATAGAGCAGTAGGTGACAGAGCCAGAGGGCCACAGTCAGGGACACTCATGCTCTGATGTAAAGACTGCTTTGAATGTAGTTATTTATAGTGGAGTTTAAACATTATATGTTGGCTTCTGAAAGGATTCCAGTGTCAGAGCATCTGAAAGGAATTCTCTTCGAGAATAAACGTGTAGGCTTTGACAGAGGTCATATAAACAAGCCAACAACAACAAAACGACTATCTGAAAATCACAAAGTGGATTCAACGCTGCTGCTTTTCCAAAAGTAAAGAAGTGCCCTGAGCAAGAGGTGATAAGGATTCGAAGGAGAACTCAAAATGTTTACATAAATCAATCTTTGAGATGTAAACAGAGTCGCTCAGAGTGGTTACAGTGATGGTGATAGGAGCCAGGGGTCGCCATGACTACAACACAAATATAGACATTTCATTTACTATCAGAAACCTCCAGTGAACCTACACGCATCTTCTGAGATTCATATGTAATGTTGATGATGGTGAAATAGTCAATCTGTGAAAAAAGTTTTCTTTTGGGAAATTTTGCCTTAGCATGCCTTGCATGCATTTCCTTTAAAAATACATTGTAGCTCCAAATCTTGTCGTAAAGTCTTGGATAGCAGGCAGTGCATTCATAACCATGTCATGTAATGATATGTAATGATTTCCTGGGAAGAAGCTTTTGGGGACATCAAACACTTTATGAGTTCAGATCATCAGCATGGTGGTGGTAGTATGAGGGAAGACTGATTGAGGGAGGGGGAAGAACTCAGAACTAGGGCTTGCATTCTGGGCAGCTTCTGCTTGTAGCTAGAAGGCAGGACACCCCCCACTCCCTCCATATAGCTGTAGTAGGTCTGATGCAGGACTGAGGAACAGGGAGGAGATGGGGTGGTGGTGGGGATTGTGAACACTTCGTCAGGGGAACAGAAGGTGAGGATGTGAATTTATAGGCCGTTCGATTGGAAGAAGGAGGGGTTTCAGCCGTGTTCCTCCCCCAAACTTCATAACTACGTTTAAGACGTCTGGGGCCGGATACACCACCGCTTTCTTAACCCTCTGTTGCACGATGTTGCCTCAGGGCAACAAATTCATTTTTCTCACTGTACAATAACATTATACATATTTAAAGACAACAAAAGGGTTACCAACAAAGGAAAGAGTTTGAGTAAGTCAATAAAAAGCATGTGCTTAGTCATACTATCTCTTTGTGGGCACATTTAAACCTCTTTTTTTTATCGTTCAGTATAAATATGTTTGTTGCCTAGAGGCAACATTGTGCGACAGTAGAATGGATTTAGCCAGTCACAAGCCAGGTCTCACCACTTCAGGGAACACAGCTCTATATCATTTCTTCTTATTGTGGCACAATGTTGCCTAAAATTCATTTATTTATTTTTTTATGTGTTTGAATTTAATAATCGGGTAGGAAAAAAATAAATCAAGAATCATTTTATTAAAGAAAAGTGAATTGAATATTTGGATATTTTTTTTAATTGCTTTCATAATGTGTGCAGTAGAGGGGTAAGAAAAAAACTTGTGAGGGTTCTTAAATACTAAGAATTTTGTAAGAATGTTCTTAAATGTAATTCTCGGGGAAAAAAATGTAAGAAGATCTCAAATATTCTCTTAAGATAATCTTAATTAGTTTCTTATGATGTTTTTAAGAAAATCCTCATTGTTTTCTTAGGTAGGCTCTGAAGCATTTTACCATGTACCCCGAATGCTGCATAATACATTTTGAATTTGCATAAACTGCTATTTTTGTTACGTAGTTTAATCTGCTCAGTATAGCAAAATGGAGGAAAAACATCAATCAAACCAAGATTTAAAAAAATAGATCTACAGGTGATGGAGGAAGAAACAGCCAACAGGAAAAAGCCTCCTTGCAAAATGTGATAATTGTGGAGTGGTGACAAAAAGCAAGACAATTTAGATGATTACCTTGTCAACTCTCACAGCCTGAGACCAGTGTTTTCAGAATACCACTTGTTTTTAGAATTATTCTTAAGATAATAGTTAAGAAAAAAAGAGAATTCTTAAGAAAGTTATTTGAAGAATAGAACTTTTTTTAAGAATGAAGTTAAAGGAAAACATTTAAGAAGACACTTTCATGAATCTGGTTACCCATTATCACTACTGTGGACAGTTTAGACTCAATTTCTCTAGAATCAAACCCCTTTGAATGATATTATTTACATATGGAAGATTTAATTATGGAGAAATTTGGAATTTTTTTTTTTATATACAAAAAGTAACAAATAAAAAGTTTTGGTTTTTGTATTTATAGTAGGCCTATTTAAATCCAATGACAGTATTTAAAGTAATTGACTTTGGAATGATGCTGGTCAAACTCAAGGTTATATTTATGCTGTATTTACATTTTGCCTGTGGTTACACACAAAGGTATCAGTCTGAGGCCAACTCACGCATTGATGAATGGCTGCGGACTGAAATGGAAATGAATAGTGGGTGGTTTGTAGTGTTTGCATGTGTGGATGAATGCGTGTTTGTGTCATGACGGAAAAGCGCAGAGAGGCAGACGAAGATGAATGATAGCATGTTTTGATATGCACGTCTGTATGCTTTCGCGGTGGCAAAGACTGAGAACAGCGATAACGCAGGCAATTTGCATTTTATTAAAGTGTTTGCCTTGTTAAGCCCCTCATTATAATGCTCCCTGTGTGGCTTGCTTGTGCCTCATGGGCTGTTGCCTCTCCAGAGAGGCACATCAGTTACACGGAGATGTAAGCTATCATGAGCTTATTCATGCATGCCTCCGGTTCCTGTACCAAATCCTTATGTTTCCCTCTCTCTCTCTGTCTCTCACCCTGTCTCTCTCTCTCTCTTGTCTAGATCTTCACTACGATGTGGATTCCATCCAACCTTCCTCCGAGCTAAGCCATATCCCTGCCTGGCTACGCGTGCCGTTTGGCACCTTCCATCAGGATTAGTCACCAGCAGCAGCACACATGCAGTGAACACCACAGATCAGTCCCGATGCCAAGCTACTTCTTCCCCATCTAGGACGCTTTACTTGGCAGAACGTGGGAAATAACAATAATCTTCACCTTGAAAAAGCACTGCAACTCTTTCAGCTTTTAATCTGAGCAACTATTGAGGGATTGCTTGGCAATATCATGTAAAAAGGCAAGTGCAATAGATAACATTAATACCTGATAGAACTATGCATAGAGATGATCAAACCACAGTCAAAGGTTCTTCTGTAGACCTATACAGGAAACTAACATTGGACTAGACCTGAGAAACACTCAGTCACTGTGGACTTCTTAACTGTCGCAGGAATTTCAACCATGTGTGGTTTCTCTTGTTTGCTTGATGCTGCAGGTTAAACAAACTGGATATATGACCTGAACCTCATGTTCATTTGAGAACCTTGTTTTACAGTGGAATATCTAACTGCCTGATCATCAACCAAACAGGGGATCAGTTGAGGGTAATCTGGCTTAGCTATGAACACCTGTAGAAAGTTGTAATGGATCAATATAACAGCACTAGCGAGCTTTTCTTACCGAACATCACCGGCAACCCAGAGGGATCAGAGGCTTTGGATAAAGGAACACTCCTAGGCCTCCAGATCTCCCTCTCGGCCCTTCTGGCCATAGTAACCCTGGCCACCATGCTGTCCAATGCCTTTGTCATCGCCACCATCTTCTTGACACGCAAGCTCCACACACCTGCCAACTTCCTCATCGGCTCCTTGGCCTTGACAGACCTGCTGGTGTCCATTCTGGTCATGCCCATTAGCATCGTCTACACGGTGAGCAAGACGTGGACATTGGGCCAGATCATGTGCGACATCTGGTTGTCATCAGACATCACCTTCTGCACGGCATCCATCCTGCACCTGTGCGTGATTGCGCTGGACCGCTACTGGGCCATCACGGATGCGCTAGAGTACTCCAAGAGGCGGACCACACGGCGGGCAGCGCTGATGATCGGAGTGGTGTGGGTCATCTCCATCTCCATCTCTATGCCGCCACTCTTCTGGAGGCAGGCCAAAGCCCACGAGGAGCTGACCGAGTGCCTAGTCAACACAGACCAGATCTCCTACACACTGTATTCAACCTTTGGGGCCTTCTATGTGCCCACAGTTCTCCTTGTTATCCTCTATGGCCGCATTTATGTGGCTGCCCGATCTAGGATCTTCAAGACACCGGCATCTTGTGGGAAACGCTTCACAACGGCACAGTTGATCCAGACATCGGCAGGCTCATCCCTCTGTTCCCTCAACTCCTCGTCCAACCAGGAGGGGCATCTTCACCCTGGGGGATCAGGAGGTGGAGGAGGGTCTCCACTGTTCATGAACAGTGTGAAGGTGAAGCTAGCGGACAGCGTCCTGGAGCGGAAACGGTTGTGCGCTGCGAGAGAGAAGAAAGCAACAAAGACCCTTGGAATCATCCTGGGGGCCTTTATTGTCTGCTGGCTGCCCTTCTTCGTGGTTACCCTGGTCATGGCTATCTGCAAAGACTGCTGGTTCCACCCAGTCCTATTCGACTTCTTCACCTGGCTCGGCTATCTCAACTCACTCATCAACCCTGTTATCTACACTGCCTTCAACGACGAGTTCAAGCAGGCCTTCCACAAACTCATCAAGTTCAAGAGATGCTATTGAAGGAACCTTCCAAAGGACAGTTGTGACCTTCTGGTCTGTTGCTATCAGCACTGGTATAGAGCTTCATCCAAGGAACGCTGGGATATAAGACTACCTATCTTGAACATCTACTGTGGCGTTTGCTTTGGTGTCTTCAAGTACAAAACCCATGGTCATAATGTTTGGTCGCAATACATTTTTGTACAATTGAATCCCCATAAAACAACTTGTGAAAAGATAAAAGTCCTTGTGCCAAACTGTAGATGTTACCCAGTAGATTTATGTATGCATGCATAGTTAAGGGGGCTTCCCTTAGAAAACATTTGTACTGTGTCTACAAGCAATTACTAAGAGCCTTACCAACCAAAAAAGACTACATCGTAAAGAGAGAAGGAATGGGACTGTTGGAAGGCAGTGAACTGGAATGGTCTGGGAAAAAGCACTGCTTTCACAAGAGTTGTTCTATACCCTGTACATGGTATTACAAAGATAAGATGTGTATATATAAAGATTTCATTTTTCACAGCATATGAAATACATATCAAATACTTTTGTTTTTGTGTGTGGGATCATTTAGATTATGGCATTTGAGACTACTTTGCTTTTCCTGGCAACAATTCAAGCCACTCACAGGCATGGATTAAGCCTAACCTTGGACTAAATTGAAATATCAATAGTCATTCATCACTGAAAAACGTTTATAACCCAGGCTTAATCTGGTGGTCTTGGAGATTGGCTCATAAAGTTTTAACTACTTTACCCCTATGAAAAAGGCATAAATACCATTTTACGATGCAATTGAGGGATCCAGAAAGAATGTTTTCCCATGACCGTGTATTGCTTTATGAAGATAGGGTAATTTAGCAGGTTCACAGCAATATCACCCATGTTCAATTAAGTTCTACTGAGCTCACTTTACTCTAGTCCACCCAAGGGAGTTAATGCACTGCTGTTTTTGCTGTTATAAGCGGTAAATCCAATCTGACCAACAGTGTTCACCAGGCAGTGCAGGGCTAAACGTCCCAGATCATGCTAGTCACGTCTACTTCTTCCACCTCCCTTGGCCTTGATGGATTCGGCGGCTCTTATTTAACATCCAGCATAGTATAAGACGTGCCACCCAGGAAGAGCAGCATGTTAGAACAGCTGAATGTTCACATGTGGGAATTATTCCACGTGGTGGACGTTGATGGAGTGGAGTCCGCAGTGGTTTGAGCATGAGAAGGTAAGAAATGGTTCTGGGAAAATTGGAAGTCCGAGCTGGTGTTGTGCATAAGATCCTTTGGGCAGGCGCTCAAGTCTGATTAATTTTCCACATGTAAGATGGGTATCTGACCTTTACCTTGGACATAATCTGCTGTCACATCTAACCTAATCTGATCTGAGCCACGTTAATATACAGTCATTTCAGCAAATGCATGAATACTGGAGGCGATCGTGACACTAAATTTCAAGACCTTGAACATCATAGCCGAGGTTTTAAGGCACCTCAGAACTTTTCATGGCAAACTAAGAATTACTACAGATGGGTTTAAGGTTTACAGTACACAAATCAGGGGCCACTCTTCCCTTTAATTTCTAAGAAGTTTAATTTCTAGTCATTTTTCAGATGGCGAGGCTTCTGTGTAATCTCACGTTAAATATCTGTTTTCCGCTGAAAAATGTTAATGGCCATTGGGACCGGAAATAAAAAAAAAACGAGGGGTGGTCTCTGACTTTTGCACAGTGCTGTAAATAGCCCTATAAACCTGTCCTGTTCATGGGTCACTTTTCCAAAGAGAAAGGTGGCATTGAACAGTTACTGTGTATTGTTCGTATTTACAGGCGCTGATCTCTTCCACTCTCTCAGACACCCACACACACTCTTAAACAGAGTCTGTAACCAATAAAGCCCCTTGAGTAAAAGCACACAGCACTGATGTACCAGTCAGCTTTTCTATTTATATCACCACCCACCCACGACTCTGAGGATAGGGCTTGATTTTGAAGTGATAAACAATAACATCCTGGACCTGGTCCATGAAATACGCTGAACAACTTTTTGAAGGGATCTTTGAACAATGTTTATTAAGGCCAGCTTTTGAAGTTTGACATGTTTCTGGCTCTAATGTACCTGATTAACTCATCGAGGACTTGATAATTAGCCAAAAAGCCTAGCCAGGTGTGTCAAGAGCAAAGTTTTGAGAGCTTTTTGGAGAACGAACAGGCCTTTTCACCAAGTTTTGATCTATCCTCATCTATCCTCCCCAATTTAGAGTTTTCAGTCAAGTAGCTGCCGCAGAGACCTGGAGAACGAACAGGCCTTCTAACAAGGAAGCCAACACTGGACACGCCACAGAACTGGAGAACAGGCCTGTTTCTTTTCCATCTCCTCCAAACAATGAACATTTAGAACACAATATCAATAGAAGAAAAACTAAGATATGACAACAAACTGCAAGTTTTGGACACGTGACAGCAAAGTCCATGCCAGGGCTCCACTTTGGCAATGTCTACATATATCTTGTGGAGATTCCCTTACACTGCTGCCAGGATGAAAGTTTACAAAAGTACTGACAGCTATATGTATTTTTGATGGGAACGGGTCAATAAGGCTGCCGCTTAGGAGGTGAAAGACAAGAAATGATTAGGCTCAATCCCATTTCTTACTTTTGCCCCTACTACTTGTTTTCAAGTGTCAAATTGTTACAAGGGGTAGAGGAGGGTAAAGTTCAGCAACCTGACTGAGGCACTGGAATGTAACGGCTGCACCATTTGAGGTGGAACAGGAAATTTAGCTAGCCAGCTACCGAGACATCACATACGACTAGCAATTTTTATGCTTTTTATGAAAAAGGCTATAACACATTGAAAGAGCATTAAACTTATTAAAAAAAACAGATAAAACAATGGTTAATGTAATTTTTTAATGGAGAATTTTTTAATGTTTTGTGTTTCTTTGGTCGCTTGTGCAACCATCTTGTTGGTTTTGCTTTTTTTCTCATAACACTCCATTTGTAGTGTACATCTGAAAAACCTCAGGGCCATGAAGCCCTAACACTCACCCTACCCCTAAACGTGAACCCCCAAAACAGAGGCGTAGTGCTAAGTGGTAGGGGTGAGGGGTGAAATGGGATTGGGACCTTAATTCTCAAAGCAGAAATTAGCTAGGGGTCACTGTGGGCAGCCTTCTAGGGCAGTAGTGGTCTGGTTAACACAATATCTTATACATTACCAGGTTTGTTACATATATATATATATATATATGTATATTATATATATATATATATTATATATATATATATATATATGTAACAAATCTGGTAAAATTACGTGGCAGGTAGTAGAAGAAAGCCTTGTTTTGACCCCCCCAGCCCCCGTTGGGCAGTCCTATAAGGATGTGTAACATCACATGAAAAGTAAGTATGAATACCAGGCTGTAAACACCAAGCTGGGGTTACATTTCCTCAATTTTATTTGGGGTTGGCCTGCAGATTTTGGTGCAGCTGGAGTCCACAACTGACAAAGATAGAAAAAAGTCAAGGCATATGAGGGACACAGTCACTGTTCATACCGTATTGACATCCATCTTGAGTGATTTGATCACAAGTGGTCAGCGAGGTATCCTGGCCTTTCCATGTGTCGCAAATGCATCTGCCATGATCAGATTCAATGAGTGGACAAAGGGTACCTTACTCATTTACTATATAAGTCTCTTGTTTATATGTGCCTCGACTCGTTGTTCAGGGTTTGTACGGGGTGTTATACATATTTGAAATGTATTAGATTGACCTCACAACTTTTAAACAAATGAGAGTGACCATCTCTGGTGATCAAACAAGCGATCGGACAGGGCCAATGCTTAGATGATCTGTTTCACCATTCAGGAAACCCATCAAACTTGTTTGAATCTGGAGGTAAACTGTATGAGGGTCCATTGCATCACAAACTACTCCCTGCTGGTTCTGTGCAGTAGTGCATACGTGCCTTTGTTTTCTTTTCCAGCTCCACCCTACCTCCACACCCACTCCTCCATTTCACACACCTGCAGATCATTCTCTGGACTGATTAAGACTCCTACATATTCTCCTCCATTTTTCCTATTTGTTTGTGAAGTATCTGTATTGCTAATCTGAGTTCTGAGTCGTTTTTCCTTTGTTCTTGCCTGTGTTTGACCCTCGCCCTTGTCTTTCTGGGTTTTGACTATGGACATTCCCTCCGATGTTGCCTGCCTGACCCCTGCCTGTTGTGATTATGAGTGGTTTATGTGTGATTATGAGACTGCCCCAAATAAACCTACAAACAGACCTACGTGCCTCCGACATTACACATTGCTAGAATCTGAATGGATCCCAATAGCCACAAAAACTGTGACTACCAGTTTCTTGTTTTTTATGTCAGTCCAAAGAGTAGTGCAAGTATGATGTGTATAAAAAACAATCAGAAAGCCTAATCTACTAAATCTTCTGAGTCAATTTCAGGTGCAAATCAAATGCATCCTTCCCACACATCCTGTCTGAAACAGGAGAGGATTGCATAGAAATCGTGTCTAGATTTCACACATGTGGCTCCAAAACTGATGGAGCTGAGTTATCTTGCAGCGCGGGACTAATTTTTAGTGTTGCGCATGGGAGCGGGCAGGAAAGCAGCCCACTTGTGGTGGGAGCAGGCCGAAGCATGCATGAAGTCTGCAAATTAATGAATAGCCTAAATAAATTAGAACGATCACTGAATCATACATACATACATCATCTAAACCGCTTATCCTTCTGGGTCGCGGTGGGGTGCTGGAGCCTATCCCAGCTGTCATTGGGCAGAAGGCAGGATACACCCTGGACAGGTCGCCAGTCCATCGCAGGGCAGACAGACAGACATACACATTCACACACTCACTCACACCTAGGGGCAATTTTAGCACGTCCAATCGGCCTGACTGCATGTCTTTGGACTGTGGGAGGAAACCGGAGTACCCGGAGGAAACCCACGCAGACACGGGGAGAACATGCAAACTCCTGAATCATATATAAAGAAAATAAAATAATAACAGTAAAACAATAAAAATTAACGTCATTCTAAAGAGTTACAAAGCAGCCAATCGCGTGAACAACACGCAAATTCTCATAGCCAGAGAGGGCAGAGCCTTCAGTCCGACTGCCACAGCTGCCCAGCAAAACACCAAAAATAACCGCTCTGTGGTTTAATTCCTGCTTTGTGTTTACTGGGAATAAATGACGTTTGGTGAAGTTACTTCACAGTGAGCCTGATGACCATGACTGTGTCAGATATTGGATGTCAGTTCACATCGACAAAACTGCAGGCAGCGGGACAAAATGTTTCAGTTGCGGGTGGGAGCGGAAAAAACGATTCAGATTTTCTGTGGGAGCGGGCGGGAGCGGGATGGAATCTACATCAGAATAACACTATTTCAACTGTCAAGATCAGATATATGTGTGTAACAAGACGCAGTGCAAAATATGCCGTGATGTTGCCACAATATGTTATTATTTGTAGTTTGAGTAGAATTCTACCCCTGTAGAAAGTTTGGC